TGGATGTTATTATACTAGGGACTATTGCAAAATAACAAAACACCATAATACCTGTCTCTTCACAGGTTCATGCACATTCCAAAACACATAAGTTTGAATTACATCAAGCCCACCATTTTTTGCCTTTTCTATAAGATCTGGCCACATCTACAAGTACACCAAGAAAAAAAATACAAATGTGACTAGATAAAATCAAATTACCAAAAATCATAAATCTGTTTAATATATATTTCAATAGTTGGAATATGTCAACCATTTTGCTAAGGTGGCTTATGGCATTCTACATTTTAAAATGTATAAGTAAATGATGAAGTATAACAGAAATTTCAAGAAAATATTAAGTAAATTTTGGGATATATAAAATTTACCTCAGGTGTGCTCCTTGTGTAATGGATTGAGCCAGAAATAAGAATCTTTCTTTGCCCATTTATGAGAATTGCTTTGTGATCATATGTAACATTAGCTTTTACACATGAAACCCATGAACCCAAGAAAAAGCTCAGACCAAGCAAAAACACATTGCACATTATCTCAGAGTACCTCAAATCCATAATCTCCAATAAAAATAAAAAACAAAAATAAATCTTCAAAATTATATACCATCTACTTATAATTAGCATGTAGCTACTTCTTGTAGCCCATTTTTATATTATACTCCTACTAAAATTCTATTTAATTTCACTTTATTTCATGCTTTTTATCATAATGCTGGGAGAAAAACTTAACCAAAATAAAAAAGATGGAAATTTTTTAAGTAAACTATAGAAGTCAAGCAAAAATATGTAGTAAAATGAGCTTTCTTTCGATTTAAGTTCATTTTTAGTAATTAGCGGTAATCATGATAATGACCGATGAACTGAACACGCCTAGTGTGTGTGAAAGTCCACAGTTAGCATTGTGTTCGTGGACTTGTAGTGAATGAGAAGAAAGTATGACTTTTTGTTTAATAGATTTGGAAATATATTTTTTTTCTTCAACATTTTGTTTTTAAGGTTAATAATCTTCTGGTTTCCTGTCGTTTGGAGTGAGGTTAAAGTACAGTCAACATGAAAATCATAGGCGATAACGCGTTATCATTAGGAAAGTACGAACGTATCGGTTATTACTTATTCGGAAATATTTGAATTTTAATGATGTAGCTTTAATTTGAGATTAAATTATTCATAAATCTTTCAGAAAAAGCGTGCGCTCTCTCAAGTCTGTTAATTCTTATTTATTTATATTTTTGAAACTTGTTATAGTCCAAGAGTTTTAATTACCTTGAATTCCAAGAATAATAATGCTCAGAAGGGACGTGAAAATGGGTGGCTATCAGAAAAGTCTTTTATTTTTATATTTAGTATTTGAAAAAATAGTTATTTTCACATGTGAGTTAAATTTTTATGCCGCTTGATAGGTCGAAAAATGTGCTTATTTTATATGTTTAATAGTGTATTTTTATACACTTAATTTATTCGCACATTTATATTTTTCGCCTTATTTATTATTTGAATGGATTCATACACATTAGTATTTTTATATTTATTTTCAGCTCATTAGAGTATTTTATAGACGCAAAGCATTGGACGGAAGTTCACGCAATCAATTATCGAGTGTTTCACCAATATAGGCCACGTCTGGGCCCAAGATAAAATTAAAAGCCCAAATCCAATTAATTTGTTGGCTTAAGTGGGCAAATGGGAGCTGCCACGTTTTGTGAAAGGAAAAATGTTAGACAATTAATTGGTATGGAAAACTTATTGTGCTGTTGGGACACTCATGCAAAAGTGGTCTGGAGGATATTTATTTGCGCAAGGGAGACATATATCAGATACACGCACGAAAGAAAGCCAGACGCACGGACAGAAAACTCACGCTCGGATTGGGAAAAGAGAACACTACGCGGAGGGAAGCCGCACTCGCACACGAGGGAGTTTTTTTATTTTCTCTTTTATCTATTATTTATTTTTATTAGTATGTTAGGTTAGTATTTTTATCCAGTTTTAGGGGATGTTTGAACCCTAATTTCGATTTGTCTATGAATTGAATGATCTTTGTTTATCGTTGATTAATCTAAACGCCGTATTTATATTGTTGATGAGTTGATTCATGCTATCTATGTTTAATGTTTATGAATTATGAGTATTTGATTTAGTTTGGCCAACTACGTTGAATGTTCATAGTTTAATTGTTAGATTCGGGACTTTAATCCGTAATTGTTATTGGCTCGTTTCGTTAGTAGTAAACTAGGGGTCGTGCATCTCTAGGGTAGCGTGAACATAAGCTAAATGGTCTGAGCTTTTGCGTCCGTTGCTTAGACTGATCTATTTTCCTAGACATTAATGTTGCTAGTGCACTAAATCTAGAGAGCTTATTCTAGGTTGTCCATTAGTTAGGTTTAGTCGAAGAGCTTATTTCGATTAAATATTTGGTAAGGGAACGTTCGGTTAACAGAGCTTGTTGTTAGCTAGGGTCGGTAGTTCGTTAGCGATTTAAAGAAGGCGTCGAAATTAATTAACGGTAGATTTAGATTGGGTGATAACTGAACCGAAAACTGGACTTCTCTTATTTTATTTAATCTCTTATTTTATTTTATTATTTTTATTTTTATTTTTATAAAATCAAAACCCCCCATATTTATTTGCTTTCTTAGTTTAGTTTAATTAATACGAAATTATCACGATTTAATTCCTACTCCTCGTGGGATCGACCCTTACTCGCCACTACTACTAGCTAGTAGAGGTTAGTCAAGGAAACTTTATAAATTTAAATTTTCCGCATCGCGACGCGCGGTCACCGCTAATTAATAATATAATATTTTCAAATTGTTGAGTACGAAATAAATTATGTTATAAACTATACGATAGACATGCGAAAATAATTAATAAAATACGAAATAATTATACAGTATACTATGCACAAACAAGCGAAGATAATTGATAAAGTGTCCATGCGACAAACATGCGAATATAATTGATAAAATGCGAAATAATTATGCAATAAATTAAACGACACACAGACGAAGATAATTAATAAAGTGTGAAATACTTGTGCGATAAACTACGCGACACACATATGAAGTTGATTGAAAAAGTGTGAATAATTATGTGATAAACTATGCTACAGACAAACGAAGTTAATTGAGCAAATGTGAAATAATCATGCAGTAAATTATGCGACAAACATGTGAAGATAATTGATCAAGTGCGATCTCATTATGCGATAAACTAGAGATCATGCAGACAAAGTTAATTAAGCAAGTGCGAAATAATTATACGATAATTTATGCGATAAAAATACAAAGATAATTGAGTAAATGCGATAGGCTCGTTCACAGAGCGTGGTCAACGGTCTAGGCCGGTTCCAAACAGTTGACAACGGGCCGGTCTGGGCCGATTTGGAACTGTGGGCATGTCTAGCTATGTGCAGTGATGGACCACTCACTTCCTTCCTCCATCACCCTGTTCAGAGGCGGGCTATTTTGCTCCTTGATTTGGCGAGGGGCCACATGACGTGCTTACCTTCCCTCATTTCGTAAGTCTTTGGGTTTTTCTATTTCACCGTCTGCTTTCTACGGAATCCTACAGCCCTGGGTGCATCAACTTGTTCCAATGCTAGCCCTTCATCTCCTTTGCCAGTGGTTGGAGCTATTTGCTTAGTCGGTTGGATTTGGGTGGCAACTTCTTACTCCTTGTTATTCTTACCTTGTCTATTTCTGGCGTAAAATTACGGTTTAACCCTGGAAAGCTTGTCCTTGGTGTAACCTACTCACCTGAATAACCCGACCAGTCGGCAATGGCCCCGTGCTAAAGGTCGATCTAGATACCTACACGTCATACATGTTCTAGTTAAGGTTCTTCCTTAAATTCTCGCCTGCCATATTGAATGTTTATATTTGGTTTTAGAATTTGTGGACAGAAAAAGACATAGTCTTGCACTTCCGGATATAATTCACTTCTCCTCTGGGACCTACAAAATATGCCATGGAGATGACCCGCGGAAGACATCCAACAGTCAAGTCACTAATTACCTCATGAATTTCTTTTAATATAGCCAATTTAATGAGAAATTCCTCCAAACCAAAAATAATCCGGAGATAATCCATCAGCATGTCCTCTAGGACCTGCAAAATACGTTGTGATTCCCCACAGAAACATCCAACGGTCAAGTCAGTAATTACTTCGTGAACTTATTTTAATATATATATATATATATATATAGGGGCTAGCTCAAATAAAAACTAGTTCTGGTGTGAGAATCGTGAGAACCGTATTTGATACTATTTTTAATTGTGTATGATGCTATTTTTCATATTAGATGATGTTATCATTTTTACATATGCTAACAGAAATTGTGTTGTTATTTTTTAATAAAATTCATCCAGGTTAAAAATAGTACCAAACACAATCAATCGTAGCACTACACATAATTAGAAATAGCGGTTCTCACACTAGGACTTGGTTCTCATTTGAACCACATCATATATATATATATATATATATATATATATATATATATATATATATATACAGGTTCAAATAAAAATTAGTCTTGATGTGAGAACTGTGAGAACCATATTTGATGCTATTTTTAATTCTGGATGGTGCTATTTTTAATAAAATACATCCTAGTTAAAAATAACACTAAAACACAATAATCATAGCATTTCATACAATTAAAAATAGCGGTTATCACGGTTCTCACGCTAGGACTTAGTTCTTATTTGAACCACATCATGTATATATATAGAGAGAGAGAGAGAGACAAGTTCAAATAAAAACTAGTCTTGGTGTGAGAACCGTGAGAACCGTGTTTGATGCTATTTTTAATTGTGTATGATGTTATTTTTCATATTACATGATTTAATATATTTTTATTATATTTTCTTAGTTTAGTTAATCCATCTCATGATCGGTCGTCTAAATAAAGTTGACACTATCATAATCTAATAATTGATACATTAATTATTTGATCTCTTGGGATACGACCTTGCTTGGCACATACTACGAGAGAAGCCGTACACTTAAGGTCGAGTATTAAAAATATAGGCGAATAGGCGTCTGTTTCCGTGTGTTGTGGGTTTGTGTGTGGGTGGTGACGTGGCATGTGTTTGTGTGTGTGGGTGTGAGATAGAGAAAGGGAATGAAAGTGAGAGAGAGAGAGAGAGAGATGTGATTTGTCGGGTTGGACCCACGTGTGAGTGAGTGTGTGGTGGTGTGGGTCCCACTGTTTATATGGAAAATTGCCACATCACCCTTAATGAAGATATAATTTTGACTTGTTTTAACTATTAGATGATCAGATCAAATGGTTGCGATGTATTCTTATTTCTTTCACTGAGCATCGTTCTCACTTGAACCCAACTCTCTCATTGTTTATGGGCTGGTAGTAAAAACTAGTCCTGATGTGAGAGCCGTGAGAACCATATTTGATGCTATTTTTGATAGTGAATGATGTTATTTTTTATATTACATGGTGCTATCATTTTCATTAATGCTAAATATAAATTTTGTTGCTATTTTTAATAAAATACATCCTGATTAAAAATAACACTAAAACACAATCAATTGTAGCACTACATACAATTAAAAATAACAGTTCTCAAAGTTCTCACGCTAAGAATTGTTTCTCATTTGAACCACATCCTATACATATACCCTATCCCCAAGTTACCTTATTATGGAAGATATTTGGACATACCATGTTTCCTAATCATACACGATTCTTGATCACATATCGTATATAAAGTCATGTTCCCTTTCCTTCCAAATTATCTTGTCTTCCAACTATATTTGAACCCTCTCATAGGTCCTCTTATTAATCTACTGACATGGCCTATCTCATAGGTCATCTTTTTCGTGCTTATGGCCCGACCTATCTCATAGGTCATCTTTTTCGTGCTTATGGCCCGACCTATCTCATAGGTCATCCTCTCCGAGATACTGACCTGAAATGTTTGCCAAGTCACAGACTTTCTCGTGCAACCTACTTGTTAGAGCACAGTATGTCTTTTACTACCTACTCATTAGGTCACAATCTATCATATGTGACCTACTCGTTAGGTCGCGCACTAAGTTGTCCGACCTACATGTTAGGTCGCAATGTTCCCTCCAAGACTCATCCCGAGCTCTCCTTAGTGCATTTATAAACCGAGCTCTTGTACCTTTAACCTCCTACAACCCTAACCATACATGTCCTCGATTGTATCTTCTAAATCGTCCACGTTAACAATCCACCTTTTTCCGTTCACCGAACCTTTAGGGGTGCTACATCAATTTGCATGCTACCCCTAATTAATATACACAAAATTTTCAAACAAAGGCCATCCATCTTTATTGCGTACTTATTAGCTTTGAATTGGTTCAAGCCCAGCCCAGTTAGGAATGTTGGGCCTCCAGGTCCAGCCTCAAGTATATGAGTCACAACCTAATGCTCGGACTATATTGTACATTGTGATCTCTATGATTTTAATTTGGAACATCTGAAAAAATAGCGACTACAGTTCATGATTTCATAAATTAATTATGTTAGTGGCCATAAAAATTAAAGGATAAAAACGATTCTTAAGTAACACTATAAAGTGTCTATGCAACCTTTATGGGTCATCTAAAAAATGGTTGATGTGAGTGGTTTTAATGCTGTTGGATTAGGTGCATGCGAATATGTGAGTCTTAATAATAATTAATAACCAACGGCTATTGAATAGCAGCAATGAGAGCTACTGTGGATACATTTGTAAATGAGTCATTGAAAAAAGCTCCATGGCTCATAAATTTCAGATCAATCTCATAGTATGAAATAAGGTCTCACTTTAGATTATACACAAATTCTCAGTCGAGCCCACCTAACCAACGTTGTCCGGCTTCACTCAACATACTGTTTAAATTAAAGTAAATATGTATTATCAAATACCATATTTATATTGATGTTTTATAAAGCATGATGATATTTCTAATAAAAATATCCATATTCGCAAAAATAAGCATGTGAGTTAAACGGATGCATCGGCCTAATACAAGATCATCGTGTTATAATTTCAAGAATTTTCTCTAGATGCGTGTTCATCCATTTAAAATTGGGTGTTGCTAAATACCGCACCCGTTTTTACTAAATACCGCACCCAAAAAAGATAATTTTGCCCTTTTTAATTTTTAATTTTTTTTTTTTCCTACTGGCCGGCCGCTAATTGCGGCCGCAACTCGCGCGGCCGGCCGCTGATTGCGGCCAGTGGTGGCTCGGCCGCATTGCGGCCGCAACTCGCGCGGCCGCACCGTAATTGCGGCCGCCTCTCGGCCAGCCGGCCCTTAATTGCGGCCGGCCCATTTTTTTTTTTATAATTTAAATATTTTAAAAACTATATAATTTTTTAATATTATCAAATATCAAAGAAACTAATTAATAATTATTAAAGCAAGTTGCTACAATATTTATAGTCATTCCTTGTAAATCAAATGTTTCAATCTCCCAACATTTTATAGCCACTTTTGGTCTTTATTATTGTGTTTGTAATCGATGTGGGATTGTCCAATGCTTCTAGCCTTTTATAGTTACTTTTTACATTCTTTTTTGCTTTCAAAATCAATGTGGGACTAAATGATCCCTACTTTAACACACTTTCACTATGTATGTCAAGATGAATATCACATTATCATTAATTAAACTTATTATTATCTTAAATTGATAAATGATTAAATTTAACTAAATGAACATGAAATATGGAAAAACATTATGGTTTTTACATAATAAAAGAAAATGCACTTATCATCCTACTTTCATTTTTTTTATAAATGATATAATTTATATATGTGTTAAATATTTAGAAAAATGTATAATTTATTATTATTATTATTATTATATATGTTATTTATTAATAAATGTGTTATTTGTAATTAATATATATATATATATATATTAGTGAAATTATAATTAGTATTGTAATATAAGTTGAAAAAAATGTAAAATTTATTAATTAATTAGTTTGTATGATTATATAATCAAAAAATATTATTTTATTATTTAATATATTAATTACATTTTTATATTAAAAAAGTATATATTTTATAATATATTATATATATAATATATTAATTATAACTAATATATTATATTAGTTATAATTATAACTAACATATATACTTAAGTAAGTAACATATTTAATATATAATAATAAATTATATAATTTTTAAATTATTAAAACATATATAAATTATATTTTTTTATAATCAAATATTTATTTATTATATAAATTATATTAGAATTTAGATATTATGTTATAAATTAGAATTTATTATCTTATAGTTAGAATTTAGAAATTATTATATTATAAATTATAATTCATTATGTTATAGAATTTTATTATTATTATGTTAAAATTTAGAAATAATTATGTTATATAACATAATTCTAATTATCTCGAACAAATACTAATGACTGATGTTATTAAAAATTGTAGTCCTTTTTTTTTTTAAATCCGCTCCTTTTTAACTCAATAATAAACTTTAAAATACAAAATAATATTCTTAATTAAGTTTAAAATTCATAAATCTATATACATATTAAAGCAAAGCAGTTGGCTCAAGAGCTGTTTTCCCGCCTAAGATATGTATTAATTGCTATAATTAAGTTGTCCTTAACAATATTTTTCTAATGTCAAAATGACTGGTCATTTGCTTGCATTTAAGTATAATAAATAAACTATATTACTTATGATGAAATTTTTGGTTCAATGCATTGGGAATAATAATTACAATACTCTCTTAAAATTTATCACCAAATTAAAAAATTAGTTATACAAATTAATAAAGTGATTTAATGGCACCAAGTTGTTTACTTCTAATTCAAATTATCATATTTATTTTTTTGATCTTTCAGTTTTTTATTTGAACTCGAACCAATATAAATATATAGAACATTACCTGTTGGATAAACAAAATATAAAAATTAATATAGATCATGAAGATACTGATGAGTAAAGAACAAATATGTATACATATTTTATAACTCATTAGTTATTTATTAGTGCCACAATAATAATTGAACTTTAAATTTATCTTTATAAGAAATCATGATTGTGATTCACATTTCTTCATAAATAACATTCAATATTTTTGGAAATATTGAGTTTGATTTTCAGAATTTTTACAATTTGTTTAATTGAAAATATGTATTATTCAAAATAATAAATATTATTACAAAAAATATAAAAAATGTATATTTTAGGTTTAATCCATTATATATTTTCCAATGCCACAATTGATTATGTATTATATGTATTAGCATATGGAACTCAATATAAATAACTTAATTTTCGAATGGAATCTATATATATATATATAATAAGATATATATATATATATATATATATATATATAATAAGAATTACTATTTACTAAATATAGTAGCAAACAAATAGGTCAAAACAGTGGTTTAAATACCGTACCGGTGGCTATACCGGTCTAGCCATCGATACGCGGTATTACCGGTCGGACCGGTAATATCGGTGGTATTACGGACTAACTAATATAATGATATATATATTTATATATAAAAATGTATAATACCAAATGCAAAAAAGTAAAAAAAAATAAATGACCATAATCATTAATTTAACTTACCAATGAGATAAAAATAAAATATTCTAACTACCAATTTAAATTTTATATCTTTAAATTAATAATTTTTTTTTCTATTTATTTATTTATTTATTTTTTGATGACCGGTATTTTGGATTAGGTGCATGCGAATACAAACCGGTATTTTGGACCGGTTTTTTCTGATATTTACGGTATGACTCCGATACAAACCGGTATGACCGTAAATCCGGTATTCTGTGTACAATTATAACGTACCAATAGCCGATATCCGGTATTACCGGTAAGGTACGTTATTGAAAACAATGGGTCAAAATTTAATGAAGCCTATAAATAGTAAGTTTTATTATTTTTCTTATTTTGTTCTTTAAAAATCATACAACATTAAATGTTACCTTAAATTTCGGGCTTTAGTTAATTTTACTATTTAAAATTCCGGTGAAGATTTATTATGTGTGCATGTTTTTATTTTTAATTTTTTCTTAGAAACAACGAATAACATTAAAATATTGGTCTTTATATTTATGAAATCTCAATTGAAAATATAACAAAAGTTTTAGAATCTCGGTCTTTATATTTGTTCCTTTAAAAAAATATTGAATGCTAAAAATATTCTTTAAATTGCTTAATCAATAAATTAATCTTATTTTTTTGAAAATTACTATGTTTATTTTTTATTAAATAACGTACCAATAGTCGGTATCCGGTATTACCGGTAAGGTACGGTATTGAAAACAATGGGTCAAAATTTAATGTAGCCTATAAATAGTAAGTTTTATTATTTTTCTTATTTTGTTCTTTAAAAATCATACAACATTAAATGTTACCTTAAATTTCGGGCTTTAGTTAATTTTATTATTTAATATTCCGGTGAAGATTTATTATGTGTGCATGTTTTTATTTTTAATTTTTTCTTAGAAACAACGAATAACATTAAAATATCGATCTTTATATTTATGAAATCTCAATTGAAAATATAACAAAAGTTTTAGAATCTCGGTCTTTATATTTGTTCCTTTAAAAAAATATTGAATGCTAAAAATATTCTTTAAATTGCTTAATCAATAAATTAATCTTATTCTTTTGAAAATTACTATGTTTACTTTTTATTAATATGCATAAAATAAAAATAATTAATTCATCTTTAGATATATAATTTATAATCTTAATATCATTTGGTAGACATTTATTATATGAATCATAAAATATTTTTATTTCATAAAATTAAATATATTTAAAGAAAATAAGGAAATTTCTTTGGATCAATCGGGTGATTGAATTAGGGTTGATTGAATTAATTTTAGGTGATATTTAAAATAGTCAAAAAACTTGACACAACTTGGTTGGTCTCAGGTGTCTAAGTTATGTATCAGTTTGACCAGACCAAATCGATTATTGAACCTAAATATAAATTTTAATATTGAAAATACTTTATTACGTGAATGTGATGTAGTCCAAACTTCAAATAATCGTATTAACAATACTTTTATGACAACATGTTTAATGATTTATGAATATTGATATATCATTTTATTAATTTATGTGAATTAAATAATATATTATTATGATGTTTGTTAACGTACAGTAAATATAACTTTTTCAGAACCGGACCGTCATCGAAACGATTAAATTATTTTATTAAATCATTTGTGGTTTGTTCAGATTTTAATCTATAAACATTTTAATAAATATATAAATAGCAGTTTTGTAATAACTTTAAATAAAATGTGTTACTTAAATATCTAAACAATTTATAAATTAAAATATTTAAACTAATTGATAGATAATTTATAAATCACTATTTTATTTAAATGTGTAATTTTATTTAAATATAGCAAAATTTATTTAGAAATCGTATCAATCCTACCAGTTCAACCGACTGGTGTTGACGAATTCAATAGCAAATATTTTATTCAAACGAACTGACTGGTTATAAACCGGTTCTCGTTATTCAGTCGGATTGTGTCGAACCCGGTTCAATTTAAAAACAATAGATAAATTATGGTTAATGTTATTTATATATTTTATTTATAATACAATCGTAATATTGTTTTCCCGTGCATCGCACGGGCCACGCACTAGTAACAAATTGAACGGAAAAAGTCGGATTCTTTTCAAGCAATTCATTGAGTCCGATTAATTTCGTATGATTAGACCGAATTTTAGACAAGATTGTTTGACACTTTTCTTAGAGTTATATGATTCGTGTGAATATTATAGTAGGAAAAGTATTCAAGCTCATGTTTAATTGAAGTATTAGTGAAAATGTTTTGCTTCGTTTTATTTTTATCCATTTCCAAATGCTATGCCACATTATAAATAAACAATTCAATAACAATCAACGCATATGTACTTGGTCTGAAGTCAATCACAAACATAAGTTAAAATTTACAATTCAATAACAATCAACGTATATGTACTTGGCCATCTAATTTATAACATAATCAATTCTAATCTATAATACAATAATTTCTACCCACTAACCAAATAGTAATAAATTCAAATTCATAAGACAATCAATTCTCATATATAATACAATAGTTTCTAACTTCTAACATAATAGTAATAAATTCTAATTTATAAGATAATCAATTCCAATATATAACATAATAATTTAAAGTAATATAATTTTTTCAAAATAGTATCATTGCTAATTTATAATAATATAATTTATACTAATTAAGTAATTATATTAATAAAGTAATTATACTAATATCATTTTTTAACTGTATTTGTTGTTAATTCATTTTTTTCTATTATAATTAATTATATGTTATACTATTATAATTTATAATAATTAAACTAATTAATAATATAATTTTTTATATACTAATATAATTTATACTAATATACTTTTTTCATTATAATTAATTATATTTTATACTATCATAATTTATAATAATTATATTAATATAATATATATTATATAATATATTAACTTTATTA